AGCCCTAAACTCCGCTCTGTCCTGTGCCAATCGCACTGTCTCTGACACTCCCAACCCAATTATCCCAGTCACTGAATCAATCCAGCTCATAGAGGGCCTTCCTCTCCTGCGCTGTCCCTCCACCCTCCCAAGCATGATGTCCCTCTCCAAGGACCGGTCTCTCCTCACAACATGTCCAAAGTATGTTAGACGGAGCCTCAGAATCCGTGCCTCCAAGGAGCCACCCAGTTTAACCCTTTCCAGGACAAATCTGGTTGTACATAGGGTTCTCTAAATCTGAACATTCACATTGAGACAGACTAGGAAGAAGGATTGGCCATCCACTTCTGAAATAGCAGGCCTCTGAAAACCCTATGAGCAAATCATTAGAGAAGTCAAATCATATGAAGAATAATATGACATCAAGATTGGAAGTAAACTCATCAGCAACCTGCATTATTCAGAAGACACAACTTTCACTGCAGAAAGTGAAGAAAGCACTTGCTACAAAGATCAAAGACTACAGTCTTGAATATCAATCAGTCAAAAACCTCTCCAAATTGGGGGGGGGGGGGGGGTGCAGAACTAATCATGGAGTAGTACAATTTGATGTGTGGGAGGATGAGGGAAATTGGAAGAATCTGTTCTCAAAAAGAATGTATTTGAATTCTGTAAATAAATTAATATTAAAAAATGAACATGAATGATTGTATGAAACACAACGGGGGGGGGGGAACACAAAAACCCCCCCAAAACAAAGACCAGCTTAGGCTCCATCTGCTCTCCGCCAGATCTGGTTCCTCCACCCTGTCTCCTCCCCTGCACCACGTGCATGCTTCCCTCACTGCCATGCCTCCAAGACCTTACCAAAATGTCATCTCAAATGGAACATGCCATGGAAACGATGCTGTTCATTTTTCACAAATTTGCTGGAGATAAATGTACCTAACAAAGGATGACCTGAAAGTACTCATGGAGAAAGAATTCCCTGGATTTTCAGAAAACCAAAAATGTAAAACTCTGGCTGTGGAAAAAAAAAGAAGAAGGATTTGGACCAGTACCGAGACAGGGAAGAGGGCATTCAGAGCTGCTTTTCTCTGATTGCTGAGCTCACCCTCACATGTAATGACTATCTTGTAGTCCATACAAAGCAGAAGGGACAGAAGTAGACACAGGCAGCATTTAAGGAAACACTCCCATCCTTTCTGGAGTTATCTCAGAGTTGTTTAAGTAATCTGCCCTCCAACTTTCCCCTGTTCAGGGTTTTCATGAATGAGCAGACTGGGGTCCTTTGAACATTTACAAATAAAATTCAACCCCCATTTGACAAGGAGAGAAACTTTTGATTTTTATACTGTTTGCATCCTACTGCCCTCCATAAACAAATTTCTTTTTTAATACCTAAACCAACTTTCCAAAGTGCTAAAGAGGAATGTCAATTTAAAGAATAAGGTGTGCCTGATCCAAACCACTGTCTTTTCAATTGCTTTCTATGCATCTGAAAGTTGGGCAATGAGTAAAAATGACAGAGGAATCAATTTTTGAGACGTGTTGGAGAAGAGTACTGAATATCCCACGGACTGCCAAAAGAACAAACAAGTCTTGTCTCAGAAGGAAGTACAAGTAAGCTCTTTAGAGTCAAAGATAGTAAAACATCATCTCACATACTTTAGACAAGTTGTTAGGAGAAGCCAGTCCTTGGAAAATGACATCAAACTGGGAAAGGTGGAAAGTCAGCAAAAGAGATGAAAATCCCTAACAAGATGGACTCACACAATGAGTATAAAAATGGGCTCCAAAAAAAAAAAATGGGCTCGAGAATATTAAAGATCGTGAAGACAGTGCAGGAAAGGACAAGGTTCAGATTTGTTGTTCACAGGGTCACTACTAGCTGTAGTCAACATGATGGCACTTAATAACACTACCACTATGGTTTAAGACCTCTTCTATAAAAAATTAAAGAAAAAGCTGTGTTGCAATCCCGAAAATGAATGGTTCAAATCCACTAGCTGCTCCGCTGGAGAAGGAGAAGTTCTTCTATGCTGGTCAGATCTGATCTGAGGATACACTAGGGGAGCGGGGGGGCAGGGCAACAACAACAAAAAAAAACAATTAAGGAAAGATACATAGAATCATTTTGGACAGTTTTTAAGGACAGAAAGGGAGTAGAGAAGAATAAAAATGAACAGATAAAATGGGTAAAGGAAAGGCAATTTAAAATAAAAAGCTGATCAGACAACATAATTAATCACATTAATCAATGATAATTGATGTTATAAAATAAAATGTGTAGGAATGACTGAATGAAAAATCAGTCTGATTTTTAAACTTCCACTCAAATAAAAACAAACAAAAAATGCACTTTCCTCAGATTCATTCCAATTCACAGAAACCCTCCATCAGATTTCAAAAACTATGCACCTTTTTTACAGGAATAGACTGCCTGTCTTTCTCTCACAGAGCACCTGGTGGACTTGAACTGCCGAACTTTCAGTTAGCAGTGCAACATGCATCACACCAAATCAGCGTCCTTTATAACCTTACTAGGAAATAATTTATAACAACTGTTTGGTATCTATCAAAGTAGATTCCTTAGAGTTCCTAAAGAACAAATAAAATAACATGGTTAAGCTCAAATATTCTGGTTAAATATCCTGATTTTCACATTTCTTTTGTGTGTGCGTTTTATTCCCCCCCCCACTAGTTTATTTACAAAACTGTAATATACATTTAAACAAATCTTTCAATTTCCCTCACCCCCTCACCCATTAAATTGTACAACCCAATAATTGATCCCTCCTCCCCCTGCACAGCCAGATCCCTCTGCTTCCATCCTCTTCCACCCATCTTGGATCCTTACACTCATTCTGCAATAATGGTTTTATACAATATTTATCCTTGTGG